TTACAAAATGATTAAGCCACTTGATCTAGTGATCATGAAAAATCGAATCATTATATTGAAAATATCTCCACAAGAATTAGCCAAAAAAGGCTGAAACTTATATTCTGTTGGTTATAGTGTAAAGTAAAAAAAACAATTTTATTATTAAATGATAAAATTGTTAAAATTTCAATTTTAGGCTTAGTTTTTTGAATATTCTTTTCATTTTATTTCAGCTAGGAGTTTCCACAAATAATTAACTAAAATTACTGCTATAACACAATAAGTAAAAATATCAATCCCAGAAGATAAAACTGAAGATTGTTGTTTTATCTTCAAAAGAGTCTGGGTGGTCCAAGGGTGTTTTTATTGCGACAACTTTAAACATAAATTAAACTGATTCTTTTACTCTGCACTATCAAAAAAATCAAAATTATTGATATTTTATTGGAGGACGGACTTCAAATTAGTAAGTCATTATTTTTGCTGGCCTTCATTGAATACAGCTTAAGGCAGGGAGGAGAATGTCTTAAATCAGGCAGCATCAAAAAACAATAATACTTTRTGTAGATAGTACAGGACAAAATACAAAGTTTTCAAGAGCATTTGCCTATGAAATGTTGTGAATGCCAAAGCCATTGTGACAACAAGTAATAATTGGTTGATTTTGCATGTGTGATTGGGAAGTGCTGTAAAGCATGTTTTAAGTTATATATTGCTTTATGATATTGCTTAATAAAGTTAATGAATATGTGATTCCTAGGGGTCCATGTATGACAGCAATATATAAGACCCCTTTCCACAAATGTTTTTCATATACTGACTTATCTACATACAATAAACAAATTATAAATTGAGAGCTAGAATATGTTGAGGCTAGGCTGTAAACATTACACAAATCATGTTCTTGCATTGATAAATCTAACAAGCAGTGCCAAGACATAACTCTTAAACAAACAAAAAACAGAGATATTATACTTTACAAGCAGGACCCAGTATATTGTTCATCTTGTTTGATATTAATTGTCTATGATTGCTGGTTATAATAGATGGAATTAATCCCATACTAAATTGATATCTTGGCCATCTTTTGGAGCAGCTTGATACTTGCGGTAAAAGAAAATACCCAGTATCAGAAATATCATGATAATAATGACAAGAACTGGCCATAAGATGCAATGTAGGATCACAGTCTTGAAATCACCTGTTACTGTTACAACTTCATCAGGCTTTTTGATATTATAGTAGCATAAATACTTTTGATGAACTTGTCCTTTTCTTTTTTGGAAGTCATTCACTCGATCTGTATTGATTTGCTCACTTCTCTCACATGGTGCTGTAGAACACTGAAATGAAGGAAAATATTAAATGGACCTGACTTTCCCGTTTTCTTTTTTTTTTTCCTTTTTTTTTTCCTTTTTTTGTAAAAAACTAAAAGTGAAATTCAAGATTAAGTTTAATTAATTTAGAAAGCAGCAGCACAATCATTTTTAATCGTTTATTTGTAGTTTATATATTTATATACTTAAAGGTGATGAAATTGTATAATGCATGAATGACGTAATACGTGTTACTAATCTGCAGTAAATTCAGGTAGGGCTTGAAGTCATCATTTATTTATGTTAGCATTCATCGATTCGAAAAATAGGTTATGAAGATTGATTTTCGTTTGTCCTAGCTATAAAATGCTTCGATTTAAAAACTTGATAAAAACCTATGAATAAATTTTGTAAATAGTGGAAGAAAACCGAAACAAGACAAATGATTGTTTGGTTGTCTATAAATACGAAAACCATCAAAAATTTCTTACCTATATTAAGAGACTACAAAAACTTATTAGAATTCTCAGGTTGTAGTCTTAAATTCTCGACTATATTTTCTATTATAGCGAAATACTTTTGAACCAACCTTGATGTAATCGTTGTGTTCATAGACAGTGTCGTGTAACAAAACATCTGTGACGTTCGTCATTTTCCCTTCAGGCTGATAATCAACGTAAATCTTCAAACATGGAAAAGAGCTCGTACAGTATTTCCCACAACTACAGCTCTCGCTAACTCCTCTTTGATAGCTTTTAACAGTACAAGTTGCTGGTTTCAAGTTAAGTCCATCTCTTGCTGGACCAACCACGAAGATTCCCAACAGTATGAGAAGGATCAACGATACGAATATTATCCCGGCAGAACACCTATAAAATCGCGAAGCTGTCCACAAACTACGCGAACAAATAGACTGCCTTATTGCTGGGGCTACAACGAATCCAGATTGCATTTTTGTCTATCGAAATTCAAACTTTGCAGCCAGCTCTGGATACCATATATATGTATATATGTATATATGTATATATGTACTATATACTAATGTATGCAAGGTATGATGACGTCACCGCGGATAGAAGCGAGTCTTTTGCATTTCATTGCACAGGGAGCCCGGCTTTAGAATTTGTACATGAATTTAAAAAATCAGTAAGTGCTTTATTGGGTTTCCTGTGTCATTTGAGATTTGAAACAAGACGCTGATACGTTGAATTTCCGGTAATCGTACTAACCAGTAACTTGATAGCAGATTAACGTAACGTATCAGTGTAACGCACGTCCTAGTAAATRGTAAGAAAGAGAGAAGGGCTGAAACTAATTTGAGTACCTATTTTGAAACCGCCGTTAAAATAATTCGCCATGGTTATTTACCAGCAAATACAGCACCAAACAATCACATGACAAATAAACTTAACGACAGCATGTCTTATTTATAGGAAATATTAATCTGTGACACACAAAACAATGATATTTGTAAGCCATACTTTAAATGTATGTGGACCAGTGGTTGATGGGACCAGTTAGCTYTACAACCGTGACCTCTCTGGTAAATATCCGCTTTCAAACAATAGACTTTGACAGATTCAGTAATGATGAAAAGGTAAATTATACACCGTGAAAAGATGAAAAAACTTACTGACGTTTCGGAAGCTAGTCCTTCGTCGCAGTAAAAAAGGAATTTTTGACAGATTCATGACAGTTTCATTGAAATGCAGCGCTCTATTTTTATCGTTTGCCGCCAAATAAAAATATTCCGCGCAAACGTTGACATCAAAATATCAATAACTGTAGTTTATGGCTTTAAAAAGAGAGCAACAAATTGCGGTTGATTTAAGTATAGCTGGACATTCTCTATTCCTTACTAGCAAAGGAGGAACCGGCAAGTCATTCGTTGTGAAAACAATATTTAAAGAACTAACTAGGCCTTTATATACATAGGTTCGTTTTCCGCCTCGTTCTAAACGAACTTTCTGGCGTACCACAGAGGGGAAAACCCTTTTGATGATCACTTCCTATATCTCTATCAGGGACTCCATTTTCTTTCCCCAGACCTTGGCAGAACATTTTATTTAACCTTGATAGTGGAACCTGGGATTCCGCTCCAGATATAGAAAAGTTTTTCAAAAGCCTGAAGGAAAACAACATGAGATTTTAGATCCTGAAGACGAAATTAACGGTCAAATATTTTGAAAAATATACCTTACTCACCATAACATAAAGTATTGCGCTCCTTGAATATTTGATTT